GGATCTTCACTGAAACTCCTCTCTGATATCCTGTTGTTAGCCCTAGTCATGGGGATTCTGCGACTATCATTCCTCAGGACCAGTCCCTTCAAGCACTCCAGCAGGTCATAGAGTAGTTGTTAGGGTGAACCAACCCAAGGCTCAAGATGTGGGTCTGGGTGGTAGCTGAGCTGGTCAGTCTGGGCCATTCCCCTTCAGGTGAGGGGCAGAGCCAGATCTCCTAGGCCAGTGGTGAGGGGTGAGGCCATCTCTCCCTAGTGTGTGGGGAGGGGAGGGGCAGTTAAATCAAATTGTTCAGTGGCTAGAGAACGATTACAGTAAGAAATGACATCATGAATGCTTTGTTGGTTTGTTCATTTTTACTAACAAGGAAGTGACATCTGCAAAAGGTATGCATTGGTCTATAGGTTAAGAACCAACCAATCCAATTTGGATTGTTCACAGTTATTAGACTCTTTTAGAACTGGTAATTTTAAAAAAATATTAGAGGCATTTAAAATTGAGAAATTTTCTTCCCTACAACTATGCTGCCAAGTCATCATGAAAGAAAGTCCCAGGCCCAAATCTTCCACACTCGAAAGCTTCTCCCTGGTGTGTGTGTATGGCCAACACTTCTGTCACCTGTCCATTCTCTTTGGTGGAGAGCCCTGGGAAACATCAAAATTAAGGCCAAGGTACCCTGTGCCCATAGGACAGACACCGCTCATTTGTTTGTATAGTCTCCAAGCTTTGGTTATTTTAATATTATGGTTAGGATTTTTGTCAAATTGTCAACAAGTTGTATTATCCTTATTTTAAACATAGTTGCATTATAGTTCTATTCATTTGACCACCTCCTCTTTTGACTAAAAGTTATTTGAAAGGAAACCTTACATTATTATTTTAATTGTGAATCAGTCTTATAAAAACAAATGTAAAAAAAACTGAATTTGAATTATTGGGCATCTACCTAAGGTCCTAAGCTTGTCCACTGCTCATTTTAGGTGTGTGGGGGGTGACATTATTATCACATGTTAAAAACTTAACTCCAAACCCAGCCTTCCTGCTTGGTGAAGTCAGCAACCAAAGAGGTTGAAAGGGAATCCCTTCCTTATCTAGTGGGGAAGGGGATTTCCTGCTAATAGCAAGGACACTCAGTAGTAGCTTGTGTGTGTGTTAAGGATGGGGTACAAGAGTAACCCCATTTTTCTGGTAAAATGGACCTGTAAACTCTACAGGACTCAGGGGGAGTACACTGATGTCATGGCCCAGTGCCATGACATCCTTTTGGTGAATACACTGCAATGGCAAAGATGTGACAGTTATTGGTCCCCTGCAGGATCCTCCTACATTCCTTCTCATCCTTGCACCTAACATTTCAACTTCCACTTTAAAATAAACATTGATGAGTCTCACGGACGGTTCCCCATATGTGGAGCAATTCAGTGTATGATGTCCTTCAACCTTCAGAGCACTTTTTATAACTGGTAATTGAGAAAGCAATTGATCACTGAAATGTATTCTCCAGAGAAGGGCTATCTTGTGGGTTGGAGTTCCAGCACTCAGATGTAATAGCAATAAGGATATTTTTCAGCTAATTAAGCCAAACAGACTAAACAAACAAACTGTACATATAATTTCACCATTTATTAAACATGGAAGCAAACTTGCATACTAATGAGATGGGTGTGCATGTTTATTTTATATAGAATTGAATCTTGGCTAAATTTTTGATACTGTAGGATACAGATCATCTTCAGTATTTTTCAGAGATGATTGATAACAATTACTTTGTTATTGTCAATGCTGAGAATATTGTTGCTCCTAAACATAACAGGGCAGAAGCATGTCTAAGGCCATTTCAGAAACTGTGTATAATTCCACCCAAATCCCAAGCCAAAATTCAGCTAATGATTTTTTTTTATGAAACACAAAACTACAACTCAAACAGCAATTTTTAAAACCAAATATTCTAATGCAATATAATCCTAAAATATGCCAGTTTGATGCCTGTATGCTAAGGATACTTACACAATGGTAGGGAAACACTTAGTCTTTGTTTTCCATAGTTAAGTTGTTATGAGGAGAAACACTTTGTTCATATTGTAAAAACATTGCAATGTAGAATATACCAAAAATCATGGACCTGAGATGCTTCGGGCAGCATTGGTTGGCATTATCTGAAATGACAATACACACTGTAAAAGTGTGCATGTTGTGTACTCAGAACCAAGACTTCAGAAACTTTCTTAGATGGATCATGTGTGAACTCTGCTGGAAACATGTTCATTCATGATCCTTTGATTTTTCCATTATTTTTCTGACTGTTGCACATTCAGAAAATTTTTCCTCTTGACAATTTTTTTGCTGTGACCTCCATGTTCAAGCTGTGTGACTTCTGTGTAGGGTCCTGACCTCACAGATTAAGAATCTGGGTTCTAGCTTCTCACCACCCCCATCAGACCCTGTAATCTACAAGTCCCACCCCAACCCCCGAACCCTCCCATCCCCTGAGAATTCAGCAGCTGTCTGAGACACAGATACCATGCTGCCTGCACCAATCACAGGAAAGCGCTCCCCCCACCCCAGGCACTGACACTGCATGTACTGATTGGAGGAAGAAATGGTAGACGCCAGTGCAAGAATACATTCAACAATGTAAAGAGCAACATGGCACCACCAGAAACTAGCAGTTCTGCTACAGCAAGACCTGAACATCCCAACATAGAAGAAGCAGAAGAAAACGATCCTAAAAATAACTTTATGAAGATAATAGAGGCCTTTAAAGAGGAAATGGAAAATTCCCTTGAAGAAATTGAGAAAAAGACAAATGAAAATTGGAAGAATCTGGGGTCTAAACCACAATTTTTGGAAGAAGTAAGAGCTAAAATGTGTCTATGCCAGGACTTAATGTTACTCATGCATTACTTTACCAAGTCTTGTCTAAAGTTTCATTTGTTAAAACAATACAGTAAAATCAACTTTTTTTTATTATTTTGGATATACAATTCTATGAATTTTAACAGAGAGATTGTTAAAACACTATTAAATCAGGGCACAATATTTTTATGACCCCATAAAAATCTCAGCTATTACTTTGAAGTTACACTCTCTTCCCATGAATGTATACATGGCAAACAATGATCTAGTCTGTCACTGGAGTTTGTTTTCAGAATGTTGTATAAGCAGAATCATACACTATGCTACCTTTCATTTCTTTTACCCAGTGCGGTGTCTCTGAGACTCCAAGCTACTGCATTTATGAGTAATTCGTTCTCTTCAATTATCTAATGGTAATTTTTTAATGGATGTGACATTATTTATTCTCCAGTTCTCGTGGGATTTTCTCAACTTGGAGGCCATTATAAGTAAGACTGTTATAAACCTTTGTCTACAATTTTCCTATGGGCATAAATAGTCACCTTACTTTAAAGAGTGTGACTGTTGGGTCGTCTGATAAAACTACATACAAGAATTTATCAAATTATTTTCCAAAGTGTATGTTTCATTTTGAATTCCTTCCAGCAATGTAGGAAAGTATTAGTTGCTGTATTAGTATTAGTTGCTTACCAGCACTTGAGGCTGTGTTGTGTTGTGTGTGTGTGTGTGTGTGTGTGTGTGTGCCTGTGCTTGTGCATGCATGTGGACCTGTGCATGTGGGCCTGTGTGTTTGTGTGTCTATGGACTGTGTGCATCTCTTTGGAGGCCAGAGGACAGGCACAGGTGTTCTTTGCTTTTGTTCTGTAAGACAAGAGGACAGAATTGCACCCTGACCTGGAGTTTGCCAGGTATACTAGGCTGGCTGGCCAGCAAACTCCAGGGATCCAGCTGTCTCCATCTCCTCAGTCCTAGGCTCACTAGCACTTGCCACTACTCCTAGCATTGTTATGTAGGTTCTGGAATGAAACTCACATCATCATACTTTGATAGCAAGCGCTTTCCCAGCAAACTATCTCCCAACCAGTGTTGTGTTCTTTTTACTATCTCAGTTTATGAGTGTGGAAACCAAGGCTTACAAGGAACTAGGAAATCACTGTAGCCCTTGTCTATGCAAAACTAAGAATGAGGATTTAACCCCAGGATGGACTGGTACATTATTTGAGAAGCTGTGTCTCCATGTGCATTTGTCTTTGCAAACTGTTTTTGCAATCATATGCCTCAATACACCCCTCTGTGTATTTCAGAGCTGGAGGTGCTTCGCATCACTCTGAGTGTGTGGGGAAACCAGAGGATGGGCTTCAGTGGGAAGAGCTCCTGCTCTCAAGGGGTGCACAAGAGATGGGCTGGCAGGTAGATTAAAGATGGTGATGTGAATTTCTCCTGTATGAATAAGTATTCAAGGCAAAACCAAGACCCACACAAATGTCCCTATGACCTTTTCCTTTCTTTTTGCCTTTTCCTCCCACAGGGTAATCAGTTCCTTTGGATGGTCCAGAAAATGGCAGCTCTTTTGAGCTATTTCTACAGATTTGAAAAGAGAAATATTTTTTTGCTCTCTTTTTCCCTCAAGTTTATTTTTTCATTTTCTTACCCTTGACCTATGGTCTTAGAGCAATTTAATCTGTAATGCATGCTCCCAGCCACAGTAAAGCCACAGAAGAACTTGAAAGACTGACTGACAAGTCATTCAAGTACATGACTACATGTACTACTGACAAGTACATGAGTACAGGTACAGACAAGCATGCCTACACACACGTGCCTACACACACACACACACACACACGCACGCACGCACGCACGCACGCACGCACGCACGCACGCGCACACACACACGCACGCACACACGCACCTTGACTCTATCTCTTAAATCACATGTAGATCATACACATGGAAATCCAGCATCTGCTGATAATTTGTTTAAATGATTTTTCCTTGGAATTTTGACCTTTCTGTGTTTATTTCTAGGCACTTGGATAAACTGTACTCAGTTGATAATAAACTGGAAATAGGAGATGCTGAGACACAGATACTGTGAAGCAAATTGCCTTTCCTAAACGGGTTGATTTTCATCTTTAAAGGTCATAAATGAAAACCGGTCCACCTTTGGTACCATCAAGTGTCAGCTGTCTGCCCATGTGTGTGCTGGCCTTCCTTCTCTGGCACCTCCCTTTTTTTTTTTTTGCTGGCCAAACTCTCTTCCTCTTGGGAAGGTACTTTGATTGAATATACAATATATTATAAAGTCATGTAAGGAGAATTTAAGTTCTGCTAGGGTATTCCTCCTTCAGACAGCTTTATGTATAAGAGAAGTACACTCTGAAGTAGACTTTTCGGTATTTCCTTATAGGCTTCAGGTAGACAAGTATCTTGCAGAGGGTGGGGAGTAGATAAAAGATGGGACCTTTGGAATTTGCTTCTTTGGCCTTTCCTGTGAGTCTTGGGGAGTCTGTTTCCTGCTTCTTTCCCATCTCTTCCAGGAGGCATGTTCTGCTTCTTTTATATGTATGTGTCTAAACTTTCTATCATGTCTGGAGAAAAATGAAACTGAATTTCTTCCTAATGCCATGCTTAGAGACAGACTCTAGACAGATTTAAATCTATAGAGGAAATGATAAGCTTATATGCTGGATAGGGTTTTGTCAACTTAACACAAACTAGGGTCATTTGGGAAGAGGGGATCTTCATTGTGAAGGAGCCCCTCCCAGCTTGACCTGCATGCAAGTTTGTGGAGATTTTCTTGATTAATGATGGGTGCACTAGGCCCAGCCCATTGTGGTGCTATCAGAAGCCACCCTGGGTGCTATAAGAAAGCATGCTGAGCGAGTCATGAGGAGCAAGCCAGTGAGCGGCATTCTTCCATGGCCTCTGCTTGCATTCCTGCCTCCAGGTGCTTGCCCTGTTTGAGTTTCAGTCTAGAGTGTGACATGGAAGTGTCAGCTGGAAGAAACCCTTTCCTCCCCAACTTGGTTTTAGTCTTGGTGTTTTATCACAGCAATGGAAACTCTAACTAAGACAAGAAAGGGGTGCAAGGATCAAGGAAATTTGGCTCTGACAGATCTAACCATGTGTTCTGGGGAGGAGTCCAGTAGCATTTGAATTTTGTACTGGAAAAGCCATTGAGTGTTCAGAGCTTAACGGGCTCCTATGTGGCAGCTTAGGGGGTAAGAATGTTGAGAGCAATGTAGATAATGCAGGCCTGGCTTGTGAAATTTCAGGGGGAAGCAAAGACTCTACTAGGGCCTTTGTGTGATATTTTGAACCACTAAGAACCACTAAAGTGAAACATTTGCTTTACTGGGACAATATATACTCATCAGCTAGGACTATGAAATAGTGGTGATTAAGACAAGACTAGCTCTGGAGAGATGGCTCAGCAGTTTAAAGCTCTGACTGCTCTTCCAGAGGACCTGGGTTCTGTTCCCAGCTCCCCACATGGCAGCTCACAAATTGTCTGTAACTCTAGTTCCAGGGGATCCAACACCCTTACACAGACATACATGCAGGCAAACCACCAATGAAATAAAAATAAATAATTTCCAGGTGGTGGTGGCACACACCTTTAATCCCAGCACTAGGGAGGCAGAGGCTGGAGGATCTCTATGAGTTCAAAGCCATCCTAGTCTACAGAGCTAATCCTAGGACAGCCAGAACCAGAGCTACACAGAGAAGCTCTGTCTCAAAAACCAAAACAAAACAAAGCACCAGCTTCATTGAGGGGAAATCTTCTAGGAAATGTTTTCTCAGGGTCAGTGCATAGAAGCTGTGGTCCAGATACAGCTGCACCTGTACCTTGTGTGGGCAGCTGGTCTTGATAGTATATAAGAGTCTCCCAGGTGGTACTGGTCCTGAAGACATAAGGAGGGCATGATGGAGAGCAGCTGAGGCTTGGCACCCTCAGTGGTCAGGAGAGGCCATGGGTAAATGTGAAGCCTCAGTGGAGGCAAAACAAACAAACAAACAAACAAACAAACAAACAAACAACAACCAGGACAGAAGGGGTCATGGAGAGAAGTTGAGGCTTGATACAATGGGACAGATTCAGAGTCCCTGAAGGGACTGCAGGAGAAGCTATTGGGGGGAAGTGCAGCCCAGTTGCAGCAGAGACCCCAGCATTATAGAGATGCCAGTATCATGGGTTGACCATCAAGGGCAGCAGCAGGTATGGAACAAGAAAAGCTGCCTGTGCTGTGCATGGCAGAATGGGAGAAACAGGACTCTCTGGAGTCCAGAGGATCATGAGTGGGTCTCAGGCATCAAACACTGAATTTTTTACACTATTGAAGTTTGATTTTGCTTTGATTCGATTTTGACTGTGCCCTACTCCTTCCCTCTTGAGATAAGAAAATATTTAACCTGTTTTGATTTTACAGGAGCAAGCCAGCAAAGCAGCATTCTTCCTTGGCCTCAGCATCAGCTCCTGCCTCCAGGGTCCTGCTCTCTTTGAATTCTTGCCCTGACTGATGGACTGAGATGTGGAACTATAGCTGGAATAAACTCTTTCCTACTCAATTTGCTTTGGGTCATAGCTTTTATCCCAGCAACAGAAACCTTAGCTCTGGCAATGTAATAAAAGAAAATGTAGAAGAATATCTTTGCTGCTTAGGGTAAGAAAGTGCTTATTGAGCAAAATATCAAAGGCATACTAAAAAAGATTACTGCATTTATCTTAAAAATGATAATTTATTTAGTGAGGGGCAACATGAATACTTAGATGATAAGCAAGAAAATATTTGTCTATCTGAAATTGGCAAGATATTTCTGACTTATATCAGAAAAAATCTTATATACCATCAAGACAACAATCCAAGATCCCCCCCAAATAACAAAAGTATGAATAGACCACCCCCAGAAAGGTGCAGGAAAGACCATAGCATGGAAAACCTGCTCAGTCATGCTTTGATTATGATGTATTAGTTAACCTGAAAAAAATTAACTCAGGGTACTTTTAAAGCTGGTTGTGTGGGAAACCCTGACCTCTTCTGGTATCGCTGACTGAGGAGACCGTCAGGGAAATCACTTGGCACAATTCAGTCAAACTAAGTCTATATAATTCTATGATTCATTAACTATTATAAATGTACATGGAAAACATATTCTCAAACAGATCTATAAAGGATCAGCTATAAAGATGGGAAGATAGTCTTGTTTGTGGTAGCAATGATCTGAAGGAACCATGGTTATCCATCATTGAAAAAGATGAGGGATACAATGGCAGGAGTGTGATCACACAGCAATTAGAGGCAATGGATTGGATGTTTATCTGGAGTGGTGGGCTCATAAACATAGTAGTGGTAAAAGAATAAATGAACAAGTTATAACACAAGACAATCTATGTAAGTCTAAAATACCACCACACATACAGATACTATTACATCCACTTTGCATATGAAAACAATATGCAAATGAGACACATTCAGTTAGAATAATTGGAGGACACCAGCAATTAGAAACAGGACTAAACAGAAATGCATACAACAAAAAAGCAGCTTTCCTAGGACCAATGATGACATTGTCCTGTGAACCAGAGCACTGTTAATTCAAATATCTGTTCCAAAACTATCACAAACAAAGGAATCAACAATTGCTTAATTCTCAGTTTTCTTCAAACTGGGTGCTCAAACAGGGCATATCTGTCTTCCTTACCTCCAATTATTCCTTCTTGGAGTCCTAAAACACACTCAACATGTGCTAGAACACTGGAAGAAAATGGGTGGTGTCTCATACTTCCTCTTAATATCATCGGGGACATGTTCCTTATCTTGTGATTGCTGGTGTATTAACCTTTGTATGGTATAAATCTCATGCTGTACACTTCTGTTTGGGTTGTGTGTATTCCAAGCTCCACCCATGTGGATTTCTGCGATGTCCATCATAAACATACATGTTTCTGATTTTCCTTTATTTTCAAACTAACAAATCATCTAGAAAAATATAAACATCAACAAAGGAATGGTTAAATATCTGGAATTAATGCTTACAATAGGCTGTGTAGCCACAGAAAGAAATACAGAACTGGATTATCATCTAGGCATATCATTAAAAAATCAAACCACAAAATAGGAAGTAATATGCTATAATTTGTGTTAAAAGACATTGTTCCTTCAGACCTTTAAAGATTTGAATTTTGTGAATGTGCTGACTGCTTTAATCATAGACATCAACAAATAAAAACCAGTCATATGACTAAAGAGTTATGCTGTTTTCAGAATTTTCACTTTTATGTAGGAAACATATCAATATTAAAATATCAACCAGGCTCATTATTAATAGCTACAAAGTTGCTGTGGATATGGAAACTGGGAGGCTTAATTCAAAACAATCAAATGCATCAGAACATGTACAGCAAATAAACATGAACCCCTTTAGTGGAATACTTGGATTATTCCAACAGAGGATTTAATATTGGAGTCCAGGAAGGTTGTGAATAAAATGCAGAGGACCCACAGACTTGATGGAGGAAAAACACATTACTAGAAATCTCTGCATGAACTTTCATTTTCTCTTCAGCAATGAAAGTGTCAGTGATGCTTATGATTTCATAACCAACAGAAATCCCAAGCCTTATCCCATGTGGTCATTTCCATATCACATTTCAGAGCTGAGATTTTAGATATTAGATACCTTAGCTCTTTCTACTTAATGTATTAGAGAAGCAAGTATCTTCCTATATGATAAGTTTTATATTCTGATAAATGTATTCAGTGTAATTGACTCTTTTATGATTCTGTACATTTTCTTTTATGGTCTTAAAACTTAGTTTGAGGTGGAGTCCAAGGGCTTTCCTGAGTGTGAATTCTCCATAAACATGAGAATTTAACTCATCAGCAAACAGGTCCAACTCTAGCAGAAGAAAAACAATGATAATGCTTTACAGACACATTTTTAGATTTATTTATAATGTATGTGTGTGTTTTTCTCAATGTATATGTGTGCACTGTGTGCTTGTGTGGTACCCAGAAGGTAAGAAGCGCGCATCAGAATCCCTGGCACTGGAGTTATAGATGGTTGTGAGCTGCCATGTAGATGCTGGGAATCAATCCCAGGTCCTCTACAAGAACAAATGTTCTTAACTGCTGAGCCATCTCTTCCCCATCCATATTTTTTTTTTTGACAGAGATGTGATCTTGAACAGGTTTTGCTAATTGCAAAAATCAAATATTCTTTCAAAAGACAAAACTATGCCAACACCAGATACACTTTTGGTGACTCCATCACAAAAATTGAGTTCTGTGCACAGAATGATCAGGTTTTTATGCTCAGCTCAGAACCTAACATACAACCATTCATGCATTAATCCGATGTTGCTGAGTGTATGAGGCAGACCTGTGGTGGCAGGTCTGATGTGCTAGGCAAGGTGGCTTGTTTCCAATGGAAGGAAACAGCCACAGAA